TAGTTGTCTCTTAATGTCTTTGATTTCTGTGCTATCAATTGTAATATCACTTCTTACATTTCTGATTTTGAGCCTTCTTTCTGTTTTCTAGCTAAAATTTTGTCAGTTTGTTTCACTTTTCGAAAAAAATTCAACTCTTATTTCGGATGATATTTTCTGTAGTTTTTCTGCTTTCTATTTCCTTTATATATTCTCTGATCTTTGTGATTTCTTTTCTTCTGCTAACTTTAGTCATAGGTTGTTCTTTTTTTAGTTCTGTGGGATGTAACATTAGTTTTTTCATTTGACAACTTTTCTTCTTTTTTTTATATAGGTTTAATGCTATAAACTTCCCTTTTAGGGCTACTTTTATCTCAAGATATTTTTTAGTTTCTCCTTTAACTTCTTCATTGACCCAATCATTGTTTAGGAGCATATTGTTTAATATCCACATATTTGTTCATTTTCAATGACTCCTCCTGTTACTGATTTTTAGTTTCATACCAGTGTAGTCAGAAAAGATAATTGATATGATTTTGGTCTTCTCAAATTTGTTAAAACTTGTTTTTTGGCCTAACATATGATCTATGCTAGAGAACGTTCTGTGTTAACTTGAGAAGAGTCTGTTTGTGTTGGGTAGGATGTTCTGTGTATGTCTAGTAGGTCCATTTAGTCTAGAGTATCAAATTAAGTCTGATATAATTTGGTTGTTTGTCACCTAAATCTCATGTTGAATTGTAATCCCCAACATTGGAGGTGGGACCTGATGGGACATGACTGGATCATGGGAGTGGATTGCTCATTAATGGTTTAGCACCAACCCCTTAGTGGTGTCCTTGCAATAGTGGGTGAGTTCTCGCAAGATCTGGTTGTTTAAAAGTGTGTCACACTTCCTCCAATCTCTCTCTTGCTCCTGTTGTGGTCATGTGATGTGTCTGGCCCCGATTCACCTTCCAGCATAAATAAAAGTTCTCTGAGACCTCCCTAGAAGCCAAGCAGATCCCAGTGCCATGCTTGTGTAGCCTGCAGAACTGTGAGCCAATTAAACCTCTTTTGTTTATGTCACTCAGTCTCAGGTATTCCTTTATAACAATGCAAGAAGAGCCTAACACAAAGTCTGATGTTTCCTTCCTGCTTTTCCACCTGGATATCTCTCCATTGCTGAAAATGGGGAATTGAAGTTGCCTACTATTACTGTATTGAAGTCTATCTCTCTTTTATCTATTAAAATTTGCTTTGTATATTTAGGTGCTCTGATCTTGGGTGCATATAGGTTTACAATTAACATGTCCTCTTATAAAGTCAACCCCTTTATTATTATGTAATGGCCTTTTTTTGTATCTTTTTATAGTTTTTGACATAAAGTCTATTTTATCTGATATAGCTACTCTTGCTCTTTTCTGGATTCCCTTTGCATGGAATATCTTTTTCTGTCCCTTCACTTTCAGTCCATGTGTGTCCTTACTGGAAAGAGAGTGTGTCTCTTGTAGGCAGCATAGAGGTGGGTCTTGTTTCTTCATCCATTCAACTATTCTGCGACTTGATTGGAGAATTAAATCCATTTATAGTCGCGTAATTACTGCTAGGTAAGAACTTACTACTGCCATTTTATTAATTGTTTTCTGCTTGTTTTGTAGATCCTTTGTTTTTTCCTTTCTTGCCTCCTTTCTTTGTGGTATGATGACTTTCTGTAATGATATGGGTTGGATATTTTCTTTTGATGTTTTGTATATGTTTTATAGACCTTTGCTTTGTTGTTATGCTGAGGCTTACAGAAAATACCTTATGCATATAACAGGCTATTTTAGGTTGTTAGCAACTTAATTTTGTGGTGGGTGGAGAATTGTTTTTTAAAATTGTCATTTATTTATTGATACATAATAATTGTACATATTTATAGGGAACATGTGACATTTTGATACAATGTTTAATGTTTAAGTCAGGGTAATAGGATATTCACCACCTTAAACATTTATTATTTCATTGTGTTAGGAACATTCCAAATCTCTTCTAGCTATTTTGAAATATATAATTATATTTAACAATGATCAACCTACTGCATGCGCTGTTGAATACCATAACTTACTTATTATATCTAACTGTATTTTTATGTCCATTACAAAACCTCTCTTCATCTCCCACATTCCCTACCCTTTCCAGCCTCTGGTAGCCATAATTCTGTTCACTGTTTTCATGGGATCTACTTAATATGTGATATTTATCTTTAAGTGCTTGGCTTATTTCACTGAACATAATGCCCTCTGGTTCCATCATTGTTGTTGGGAAGGACTGGATTTCATTATTTTTTATGACTGAATAATATTCCATTGTGGACATATACAGCATCTTTTTTATCCATTCATCTGTTGATGAACATTTAGGCTGATTTCATATTTGGGTATTGTGAATAATACTGATAACAATGTGATTTTAATCACATACATAAGCTCTACAGTTTTGGTCCTATTCCTCCTATGTTTTATGTTTTTGATATCATAATTGACATCTTTTCAGTATTTGTATCCCTTAAGAAATTATTGTAGCTTTAGTCATTTTTAATAGTTTTGACCTTTAACCTTTATACTAAAGACATGATTGACTTACCCATTGCCATTACAGTGTTAGAGCGTACTGGATTTTAAAACATTCTTACTTTTAGCAGTAAGGTTTATATTTTCATGTTACTAATTACCATTTTTCTCCATCTTGAAGAACTACTTTGAAATATTTAAAATGCAAGTATAGTGGTGATAAACTCTCAACTTTTGCTTATGAAGTCTTTTCAATCCTTCATATTTGAAAGACATGATTTCTGGGTATAGTATTCTTCGTTGGCTTCCCCTTGCTAGGTCTTGAATATATCATCATATTCCTTTCTAGCCTACAAGGTTTTGGATGAAAAAAAATCTGCTGATAATATCATTGGGATTTCCTTGTACATAACAATTTGCATTTCTCTAGCTGCTTGAAAAACTCTTTGTCTTTAACTTTTGACAATTTGAGTATGATGTTTCTCAATGTATGCCTCTTTGGAGTCACCTCATTTGGTGCTTTGAGCTCCTGAAGTCAGGATTTCTATTTCCTTACACGGGCTTGGGAAGTTTTCTTTCATTATCTCTTTGAATATGGTTAATGTGACTTTCTCTGTTCTGGTACATCAGTAACACATGTGATATACAGCCTGATGCTGTTCCATATGTCTCAAGCTACCTTCAGTATTTTCCATTCTTTTCTATTTTTGCCCCTTAGATTGAATGCCTTTAACTGACCTGCTTTTGAGTTCAGTGATCCTTTCTTCTGCTTGATCTAGCCTGCTGTTGAACTACTTTATTGGATTTTTAATTTCAGTTATAGTATTCTTCAGTCTATAATTTCTATTTGGTACTTTTTAAAATTTTCTATCTCTTCTTTGAAATTTTCAGTTTATTTTTACATTGCTCTCCTGACCTCAGTGCGCATCTTTATTACCTTTATTCTGAATTCCCTTTCAAGTAAATCACATATCTCCACATCACTTGGGTTGAATTTGGGAGATTTATATTGTTCTTAAATGGGAATATATATCCCTGTTTCCTCATTTTCTTTGATCTTCTGTGTTGGTTTCTACACATTAGATAACTGCCTTTGCCAGTTTTTTTTTTTAGCAAAAACTTATGTCTGTTGATCCCTCCTGGAAAGGGTTTGTTCAAATGATGAGCATTCCGCTATTTCAACTTCCATCTGATATGACATCCTAAACCTCTTAGGTCTTGGAGTAGAGGGAAGTAGACATACATAAGTCTCCCTCAACTACAGGAAAAAGTGGTGATTTTATACAAGCTTGTAAGCATTTCTAGGGACCTCACGCCCCAGGAGCAATGCATAGAAGGGACTCAAAAATGCAGCAACCTGTTACTTCCTGGAATGGGTTTATGGCACACTGTTCCAGTGGCTATTTGGTGGTCTGGTTTCTAATATGCACTGGGGAGAAAGGGGGCAGACAGCCCGCCCACTGGTAGCCTCAGAAACACATTGGCTTTTCCAGAGCTCTCTCCCCTGGCTCACACTACTGATAAAGGCAGGCCCATTAATCCCACCTGGAATGGGTTTGTCCTCATATTGAGTGCCCCACCTTTTATAGTTTTAATGCAAGGGGCTGCATCCTAAACCTCCTAGCTCTGGGAGTAGAGAGGACTAGGCATATACAACACTCTCTAGGCCACAGAAAACAGTGGCAGTTTTATATGAGCCTGCACACTCTTCCAGGGACTTCATTCAGTGGAGGAATGTAGAGAAGGGGCTCTAAAATGCAGTTCCCTGTTCATTCCCAAATGGGGTTTGTGCCGTGCATTGAGTTCCCAAACTCTCATAGCTACCACTTGATTGACTGCATCCTAAAAACCTTCCACCTGTAAGGAACAGGAGAAGGCACACGTGAGTCTCTCTAGATTACAGAACAAATAGGTGGTTTTCAGTGGGAGTCTAAGCACTTCCAGGGGCTCCATCCTCAGAGTGCCATGAAGAAACGAGGCTGGAATGCACAGTTCCCATTTTCTTTCTATAAGGGGTTTTCTGTACTTTCTTCCAGTGATTGACTATTTGAAAGCCTTGCTTCTAATGAATTTGCATCAGTGAGCTAATAGAGTAGACAAACAGTAACCCTCCTATAGTCTGAGCCACAGCATGATACTTTCTGAGCCTTTCTTCCAGCTCTCCCCAGTAATAAATCTAGGTCTATTCATGTTTCTTTGAAGAAGTTCTCACACACACCAAGTGCCACAAATTCTATAGCTCCCACTAAAGACACTTTCTCCCAGTGACCTAGCTATTGGAGTCAGTGGGGCTTTGCATTCCTGAATGTCCCTAAGCCTCAGAAAACAAACAGGTGGGCTCACTTCCAGCAGGTACCTCCCTAGGGTCAGAGGCTACCACCTGAATACCAGTATATGCAATTGTCCCAGATCATCTGCCTTGCTTAATGCAGAGAGAGTGGGAGATTAACACATACACACTCAACTTCACTGTGAAGGTCGAGGAACTAGAATACACAATTAACACCTCAACCTTTCCAACTAGATCTTCTGCCTTACTTGTCTCAGGGTTCTGACAAGACATGGCATATCCTACTCTTCAGAGGGCCATCAAAAAGAGGGACAAAGTTTTGGACAAACACAAAGAATCCACATCCACCTCAAAATCTTCAGTCAAATCAATTGGTGAGATTCTTTTCCTTCAGTCATTTAGATTCCATTTGAAAAAGGTTAACATTGCATAGTAAAGGCAGAAGTCTTCAACAATCTGCAAGCCAAATTGTGTGTTTCTGAGTATTTTTGAGCATATTTTTGCTTTTCTCCCTATGTGATATACTCAAGAAAAAACTTTCATATGGGTTACAGTATATTCATTGTGCAACATAACTTACTTGACTCATTGTATAAAACTGCATCATTCTCTTTGAGCCACATTTTGATCTGGTTTGAGTATTTTTGCCAACATTTCCTCCATTGGCCTGATCTTGGTTGGAATGTGAGAAAGTTCCTTCTGCTCTAGAGTACCAGAAGACAGCAACAGAGCTGAACAAGGCCAATCAGTAAGGAAGATGGCAAGCTTTCAAATATTGACATATCTCTTTCATTCTTCTCACTGAGACCAGGTCTCATACCCACCTCTTCCTAGGAAATCCACGGTATTAGTCTGTTCTCATGCTGCTAATAAAGACATACCTGAGACTGGGTAAATTATATAGAAAAAGAGGTTTAATGGACTCACAGTTCCACATGGCTGGGGAGGCCTCACAGTCATGGCAGAAGGTGAAGGAGGAGCAAAGGTACATCTTACATGGTGGCGGGCAAAAGAGTGTGTGCAGGCGAACTGCCCTTTATAAAACCATTAGGTCTTGTGAGACTTATTCACTATCATGAGAGCAGCATGAGAGAAACCTGCACCCATGATTCGGTTACCTCCCACTGGGTCCCTCCCACAACATGTAGGGATTATGGGAGTTACAATTCAAAGTGAGATTTGGGTGGGGACACAGTCAAACCATATCATTCACACTTGCCAGTATCTCCCAACTATTACATTGATGTCTAAAATACTGATGCTCCAATGTATCTTATTTTCTGAATGAATATTTCTCCATTTTGTCCCCTGCTTTTCTCTTAAGCTTATTACAATGATCACAAGTTGAAGAGAGAGAGTAATGTAAGAATCAGTCTGAAGTTTAAACTGTAGCCCTGATACTGGAATCTACAAACAGAATATCTGAGTTATGGATAAATAAACATTCAGATTCTGAATCACAAGACATACTCATAGATCCAGTGCATCTGATTTTCTATCAATATTTAATCAAGGAAGAAGCAGGCAGATGAAACTGGACCCAGAATTTCAAACTATAGGGAAATAAAGCAAGAGGGAAGGAGAACTTTGATCAAGTGCTGATCTAGTACTAAAACATTACTGACATTATTCATTCATCCATGTAGCAAACATTTTTTTAAAAGTTTACTCTAGGTCTGGCACCAAATTGTATAAATATTATCCTCATTTTATCTTTGAGAAATCAGAGCTACAGTTTTAAATAGTAATTCACCCAGTGTCCACAGGATTTCAAATCAAATTTATACAACAAAACCATGTTCTTTCTCTTAGGGCAAAGTTTGGAAGGAAGTAAAAGAATATAACCAGGATACAAGAGAAAGGATGAGAGGGAAGACTTTGTTGAGGGAAAAACACCTAGTCCCACAATAGCCTAAGTCTCCTAAAGAAAATCTTGAATTCACATTATATTATCATCCAACAATCTTTTCATATGCTTTATAGACAATTAGTTTTTCCATAATATTCTATTCATTCATTTACCAGCTAAAATTTTCTATAAAGTCAACAACCAATATTGAATATTTTCTAGCACAAATCACTGTGTTTCCCAAGATAATCACAGGTCATCCTTAAAATGCTTTTATTTTCATAAATTTGAAAATGTGTGGTTATCATTCTTTAAAATGATGTTTAGTTATATAGGCTGACATTTTTATTGGTGAAATGATTTGATGTGTAGAATTTTCTTCCAAATAATATGAGGGTATAGAGGATATATGATAGGACATCAGTTGATAATTAGTGAGCTGGCTAATAAATACACAAGGATTTATTTTGTTTCTTACTCTAAATAGTGAAAGATGAATAACCATGTTTGGGCATGAGTTTTCTCTCCAAGGAAATATTAAATATATTCTTTGATAGTTCTTCAATATCTCCCTATTTCAGAATTTAAAACTCCACCAGATGCATATTGTCCTTATAGTAGAATCTCCTACAGTTGAGAGCGAAGCCCACCAAACGGTGAATCCCTTCTGGGTTCTGCAAGGAACAAAATGATGTGCTTGTAAATGGAGATGTTGGAGATGTCTACAGGTATGTACTCACATACTCAAAATCTTCAATTGTTCAGGATTCAAGAGTAAAGGAGTAGATTTTGTTGTTGTTGTTATTTCTTGTCTTCCTGGACATCAGAATTAAGAAATTCTTAGTTTGAAATGTACTGACATCTTCTAAGATGATCCAGGTAGCAGAATCCACTCTCTCACAAGCAGAAGATGAGTGACACCTGAGGCTGATCCTTCCCAGAAATAAACCCCAGAAGCTGCCACATCTGGAAGGAGCTTCCAAACTGACCATCAATGATGTGGTACTTGCTATTGATGGTCACTTGCAGAAGAAGGTGAACCATGTCAGCGCGATATATTTTTTGGCTGGTGGGATATAAACATACCCTCCCAACATTGTGGTCTCAAAGCCAGTTGTGGTCAGAGCCCTTTACAGAAATTGATTAACCCAGAGACACTACCCACCCTGTTGTCTTCTCATAACTTGATTAAAAAATGGACTTTAAGCCCTACTCCATGTGTTCCCCACAGTGCATGCTAAAGTTCTCAGAGGGAACAGCTCAGACCTGTTGCTGAAGACAGCAGTTAATATTTCCAAGTCCAATTTGTTCCTAGAGTTCTTATAACCAGTTCTTTCAAAATATACTACAATGTCCGTGATCCCTTAAGCAAGGAAAACAAAACAAAAATAACATACTTTTGCACTTAGATTCCCTTGAGTAGGTTAATTATAGATATAACATATTTTGAATATGTAAAAACACAATGATTATAAGTATCTGTCATAATAATTATTTTGATAGTACTTTTATTGTGTGAATTTCTCTTACATGTCTAAGTTCACTTTATAGTCTCAGAACCCTGTAAGAAAAGTACTATTGTATCTTCTGTCTCCCACCAACAATGTATAAGTATTCCTTTTTCTCGGCATCCTTGACAGCACATTATTTTTTGGCTTTTTAACAATAGCCATTCTAACTCCTGTGAAATGGTATCTTACTGTGGTTTTGGTTTGCATTTCTCTAATGGTCAGTGAGGTTCAGTTTTTTTTTTCATACATTTGTTGGCTGCATGCATATCTTCTTTTGAAAAGCATGTGTTCATGCCCTTTGCCCAGTTTTTCATGGGGTTGCTTGCTTTTTTCTTTTAAATTTAAGTTTCTTATAGATTTTGGATATTAGACCCTTGCTGGATACATAGTTTGCAAATATTTTCTCCCATTCTGTAGGTTGTCTGCTTACTCTGTTGATAGTTTCTATTGCTGTGTAGAAGCACTTTAGTTCAATTGAGTCCCACTAATCAATTTTTTGTTTTATTGCAGTTGCTTTTGGCATCTTCAACAGAAAAGGTCTATGTCTGGAATGGTATTTCCTAGGGTTTCTTTCAGGATTTTTGTAGTTTTAGGTCTTACATTTAAGTCTTTAACCCATCTCGAATGGATTTCTGTATATGGTATAGGAGGGGATCCAGTTTTCAATCTTCTGCATATGGCTAGTTATTTCAGCACCATTTATTGACTTGAGAGTCCTTTCCTCCATTGCTTGTTTTTGTCAACTTTGTCAAACATCAGATGGTTGTAGGTATGTGGCTTCATTTCTGGGATCTGTATTCTGTTCCATCATCTATGTGTCTATATTTGTACCAGTACCATGATGTTTTGGTTACTGTGGCCTTGTAGTATAGTTTGAACTCAGGTAATGTGATGCCTCCAGTTTTGTTCTTTATGCTTAGAATTGCTTTGGCTGTTTGGGCTCTTTTTTGGTTCCTTATGAATTTTAGAATTGTTTTTTCTAGTTATGTGGAGAATGTCATTGGTAATTTGATAGGAATAACACTGAATCTGTAAAATGCTCTAGGCAGTAATGCCATTTTAACAACCTTGATCTTTCCTATCCATGAGTATGGAATGCTTTTTTCCATTTGTTTGTGTCATCTCTGATTTCTTCAAGCAGTGTTTTGTAATTTTTTTTTTCTTTTTTTGAGATAGAGTCTCACTCTATCCCCCAGGCTGGAGTGCAGTGGTGTGATCTCGGCTTGCTGCAGCCTCCATCTCCCATGTTCAAGCTATTCTCATGCCTCAGTCTCCTGAGTAGCTGGGTTTACAGGTGCCTGCCACCACACCTGGCTGATTTTTGTATTTTTAGTAGGGATGGGGTTTCACCATGTTGGCCAGGCTGGCCCAGAACCCCTGACCTCAGGTGATCCACCGCTTCAGCCTCCCAAAGTGCTGGGATCACAGATGTGAGCCACTATGCCTGGCCTGTAATTCTTATTGCAGAGATCTTTTACCTTTCTCCTTAGTTGTATTCCTAGGTATGTTTTTCTTTTTGTGGTGATTGTGAATGGGATTGTGTTCCTCATTTGGCTCTGGGCTTGTTTTCTGTTGGTGAATAGGAATGCTACTACTTTTTGTATATTGATTTTGTATGCTGAGACTTTGCTGAAGTTTTTTAAAATCAGCTTAAGGAGTTTTGGGGCTGAGACTGTGGGGTTTTCTAGATATGGAATTGTGGCATCTGCAAACAGGCACTTTTTCTCTTTCTATTTGGATGCCTTTTATCTCTTTCTCATGCCTTGGTGCTCTGGCTAAGACTTCCAGTACTATGTTGAATAGGAATGGTGAGAGTGGGCATCCTTGTCTTGTTCTGGTTTTCAAGGGGAATGCTTCCAGCTTTTGCCCAACCCATATGATGTTGATTGTGAGTTTGTCATAGATAGTTCTTATTATTTAAAGGTGTGTTCCTTCAATGCCTAGATTGTTGAGGGTTTTAAACATGAATGGATGCTGAATTTTATCAAAAGCCTTTTCTGCATCTACTGAGATAATCATGTGGTTTATGTTTTCAGTTCTGTTTATGTGATTAACCACATTTATTGATTTGCATATGTCGAAGCAACCTTGCATCCCTGGAATAGAGCCTACTTGATTATGGTAGATTAGCTTTTTGATGTGTTGCTGGATTTGGTTTGCTAGTGAGGATTTAGTGAGGATCTTTGCATCTATGTTCATCAAGGATATTGGTATAATGTTTTCTTTATGGGTGTCATTGCACATGAGATGGGTCTCTTGAAGACAGCATACAGTTGGGTCTTGCTCTTTTATCCAGGTTGCCATTCTGTGCCTTTTAATTGGGGGCAATTAGCCCATTTACATTCAAGGTTAATATTGACATGCGTGGATTTGATCCTGTTGTGTTGTTAGCTGGTTATTATGGAGACTTGATTGTGTGGTTGCTTTATAGTGTCATTGGTCTATGTACTTAACTGTTTTTATGTGGCTGTTAATGGTCTTTCCTTTCCATATTTAGCACTCCCCTTAGGACCTCTTGTAAAGCGGGTCTGAAGGTAATGAATTCCCTTAGCATTTGCTTGTCTGAAAAGTATCTTATTTCTCCTTTGCTTATGAATCTTAGTTTGGCCAGATATGAAATCCTTGGTTGGAATTTCTTCTTTTTAAAGAATGGTGAATATACGCTCCCAATCTCTTCTGGCTTGTAGGGTTTCTGTCAGAAGATCTGCTTTTAGCCTGATGGGGTTCCCTGTGTAGACAACCTGTCCTTTCTGTCTAGCTATCTTTAATATTTTTTTTCTTGTTGACCTTGGAGAATCTGATGACTGTGTGTCTTGGGAATAGTTGTCTTGTACAGTACTTCACAAAGGTTCTCTGCGTTTTTTGAATTTGAATGTTGGCCTCTCTAGTGAGGTTGGGGAAATTTTGGGGGCCGGTATTGTGAAATATGTTTTCCCAAGTAGCTTGTTTTACCTCCCACTCTTTCAGAGATGCCATTGGGTCATAGATTTGGTCTCTACATTATCCTATATTTCTCCAAGGTTTTTTTTTTTTTTCATTCTTTTTTCTTTATTTTTGTCTGAGTTAGTTTGGAGAACCAGTTTTGAGCTCTGAGATTCTTTCTTCAGCTTGGTCTATTCTGCTGTTAATAATTGCAATTATATTAGGAAATTCTTGTAGTGTGTTTTTCAGCTCTATCAGAATAGTTTGTTTTTTTCTTAAAATGCCTATTTTAATCTTCAGCTCTTGTATCATTTTTTGTTGTAATCCTTATATTCCTTAAATTGGATTTGACTTCCTCCTGAATCTCGATAATCTTTGTTCCTATTCATATTCTGAATTTTACCTTGGTAGTTTCAGCCACTTCAGCTGGGGAAGTAGTACAGTCATTTAGAGAAAGAAGACACTCTGTCTTTTTTAGTTGCCAAAGTTCTTGTGCTGGTCCTTTCTATTTGTGTGGCTTTAACTCTAGTGTAATTTGAGTATAGTCAGTTAACTTCCTTTCTGCCCATTTTCAGAGGACTAAAGCTTTGTCCTAGGTCTTTATTTGTAGCTGAATTCTTGTCCTTGATTTCACAGAATGGTATATTAGCAAAGTTTTTTTGATGTTGAAGTTTGGGCCATGATCCAGTAGATGGTGCTTAAGTGTAATGTCCAGTAGGTAGGCTCTTGCTCAGCCTCATGGCTCCTGTCTATTTCCTCACATTTGCAGCCATGTTCCTTCTCAGTGTTTTGAAAGTGTGGATTCCTTTCCCACTCAACTTCTGGATGGAGATCCGGGCTTGGCACTCCTGGGCTACATATCACAGCCCTAGGGCAAGCTCAGGCTTTATGTTTTCTCCCCAGCTTGGAGGCAGCAGGGGAAGGGACCTTGGTAGTGGCAATGGGCAGGGGCCTTTTACTTGTCTCTTGTGGCTTCACCCCAGAGAAGCACAGAGCCGCTACTAGTTGAAGTGATCAGCCGGGGCTGTGGTGTGTGTTGTGACACCATGCTGGGGGGCCTTCCCTTGTGATGAACAGGAGGCAGGGGGCTCACAGGGAAGACAGACTGGCCTCTTCTCTCCTGCAGCGTGCTGGAGATGTAAGTAAAGTACTCGGGGTCTTTGTTCCTTCCCCAGTTTGAGGGCAGCAAGTGTAGTACCACTGCAGTAGCAGTGGCAGAGGGGCTTTCAGTTGCCTCTAGGAACTTCACCCCAAAGAAATGCAGAGCTGCTGCCAAAGGGAACATTGAGCCAAGG